CTTAGTCCTCAAAGTGGTGTCTTTGACTTTTTAACACTTTAAAGAGGTCTTTTGCAGTAGATTCACCCAATGCAATACATCATTTAATTTCCTGACTGCTGCTTTCATGAGTGTTCGTTGTGGATCCAAGTAAAATGAAATCCTTGACAACTTCAATCTTTTCTCTGTTTATCGTGATGTTGCTTATTGGTCCATTTGTGAGGATTTTTGTTTTATGTTGAGGTGTAATCAGTACTGAATGCTGTGGTGTTTGATCTTCATCAGTAAGTGCTTCAATTCCTCTTTGCTTTCAGTAAGCAAGGTTGTGTCATCTGCCTATTGCAGGTTGTTAATGAGTTTTCCTCCGATCCTGATGCTGCGTTCTTCTTCATATAATCCAGTTTATCAGATTGTTTGCTCAGCATACAGATTGAATAGGTATACTGAAAGGATACAACCCTGATGCACACCTTTCCTGATTTTAAACCGCATGGCATCCCTTTGTTCTATTCAAACAGCTGCCTCTTGGTCTGTGTACAAGTTCCTCATGAGCACAATTAAGTGTTCTGAAATTGCCATTCTTCACAGTGTTATCCATAATTTGTTGTGATCCACACAGTCAAATGCCTTTGCATAGTCAATAAAACACAAATAAACATCTTTCTGGTATACTCTGCTTTCAGCCAAGCTCTATCTGACATCAGCAATGATATCCCTCATTCCATGTCCTCTTCTGAATCCGTCTTGAGTTTCTGGCAGTTCCCTATCTATGTACTTCTGCAACCAGTTTTGAATAATCTTCAGCACAATTTTACTTGTGTGTGATATTAATGATATTGTTTGATAATTTCTGCATTCTGTTGGATAACTTTTCTTTGGAATGGGTACAAATATGGACCTCTTCCAGTCAGTTGTCCAGGTAGCTGACTTCCAGATTTCTTCACGTAGACGAGTGGGCGCTTCCAGTGTTGCATCCATTTGTTGAAACATCTCATTTGATCTTCTGTCAATTCCTGGAGCCTTGTTTTTTGCCATTGCCGTCAGTGCAGCTTGGACTTCTTTCTTCAGTATCATCGGTTCTTGATCATTTGCTGCCTCCTGTAATGGTTGAATGTTGACCAGTTATTTTTTGTTTAGTGACTCTGTATTCCTTCCATCTTCTTTTGATACTTCTTTCATCGTTCAACATTTCGCCCATAGAATCTTACAGTGTTACAACTCAAGGCTTGAATTTTTTCTTCCGTTCTTTCAGCTTGAGAAATACTGAGTGTGTTCTACCCTTGTGGTTTTTAACTCTAGGTCTTTGCACATTTCACTATAATACTTTGTCTTCTCAAGCCACTCTTGGAAATCTTCTGTTTTAGCTCTTTTATTTAATCATTTCTTCCCTTCACTTTAGCTACTGTTCATTCAAGGGCATGTTTCATAGTCTAGTCTGACATCCATTTTGGTCTTTTCTTTCATTCCTGTCTTTTTAATGATCTTTTACTTTCTTCATGTATGATGTCCTTGATGTCATCCCTCAACTCATCTGGTCTTCGGTCCTAAGTGTTCAGTGTGTCAGATCTGTTCTTGAGATGGTCTCTAAAATCAGGTGGGATATACTCAAGGTCATACTTTGACTGTCATCGGCTTGGTCTTATTTTCTTCTACTTCAACTTGAACTTGCATATGAGCAATTGATCGTCTTGAAGTTGGCCCCTGGCCTTGTTCTGGCTGATGATACTAAGTTTCTCCATCATCTCTTTCCACAGATGTAGCTGATTTGATTTCTCTATATTCCATCCGGCAAGGTCCACATGTAACGTCTCCATGTATGTTACTGAAAAAAGATATTACCATGTGGAAGTCATTGGTCTTGCAAAATTCGATCATATGATCTCCGGTGTCATTTCTATCACCAAGGCTGTATTTTTCAACTCCTGATCCTTGTTTGTTTTCAACTTTCACATTCCAGTTGCCAGTAATTATCAATACATCTTGATTGCATATTTGGTCAATTTCACACTGTAGAAGTTGGTAAAACTCTTCAATTTCTTCATCTTTGGTGTTAATGGTTGGTGCCTAAGTTTGAATAATAGTCATATTAACTGGTTTTCCTTATAGGTGTGTGGATATTATCCTATCACTGACAGTGTTATACTTAAGAATAGATCTTAAAGTGTTCTTTTTGATGATGAATGCAATGCCATTCCTCTTCAATTTGTCATTCCCAGCATAGTAGACATATGATTGTCTGATTCAGAATGGCCAGTTCCAGTCCATTTCCGCTCACTAATACCTAGGATACTGAAGTTTATGCGTTCCATTTCATTTTTGATGGCTTACAATTTTCTTAGTTTTATACCGAGAAATACTGAATTAGACATGGAATTTAACCTTTTTGAGCCTATTGCCTCGTCTGTAAAATGGGAGTATTAATACCTTCCTCACATGTCTGGTGTAAGATTAAATAATTAACATAAACTCCATACCTGACACACGGCGGGCTTATTTTTCCCTTTTTACCTCTTCTTTCAGTACATAGGAATCCAAGATAATATTATAACATTTAAGATTTCCTTGTCAGTCTGAGCTCTTATCTTAAATATCATCTCTCTAATTTTGAAACAAATAAGTTAGTTATGCTTCTTAAGTTTACCCCATTCTGGATCTGCTGTAAAGTATGGATGCTCTTTCCTAAAAATACGGTACCAGTACACATTGGGAGAGCCCTTTAATGATTTGTCCCACATTACAGAGTTCCTGCCTGTATCAGTTTTTCTATTGCTATGTATCAAATTACTACAAATGTAGCAGCTTAAAACAACTTCCATTTATTATCTCACAGTTTTATAGGCACAACATGGCTGGGGTTCTCAGTTCATGGCCTCACAAGGCTTAAATCAAGATGTTGGCCAGGGCTGGGGTCTCATCTGAGGTTTAGAGTTCTCTTCTAGACTCGCATGGTTGTTGGCAGAGTTCAGTTTCTTGGGGCTGTTGGACTCTGGCCCTTGGTTCCTTGCTAGCTGTCACTAGCTGTCAGCCAAGGACCACGCTCAGTTCCAGAGGCCACCCTTAGGTGCTTGCCACATGGTCGTCTCCATAGGTGGTTCACAGCATGGTTATTTGCTTCTCTAAGGCCAGCGTGAGGAATCTCTCTGGATTCAAATTTCTTTTTTTCTGGAAGGCCCAGTTCTTTTTAAGGGCTGCCCAGCATAATCTTCATTCCATTAATTCTAAACTGATTGAGACCTTAGCTGTGTCTGCAGAATCCCTTCATCTTTGTCATGTAATGAAATCCATCATATTCACAGTCTCACTCATACTTGAGATGAGATTATACAGGGTGTATATGAGTCAGAATTGACTGGAGGCAATGGGTTTGGTTTTTTTTTTTATATACCAGGGATGGGAATCTTGGAGCCATCTCAGAATTCTGCCTACCATACTGCCATATTTTACTAAGTAAATGATTTTATGTTGGGGGAGGGTAATTGTCATCTGAAATATGCGTAACAGATGCTGGGCTTTTCTTCAGTTTGTTCGACAAACAATACCAAAATAGTAACTGTGTTTGATAAATTTTAAAAATATAATTTATCTTTAGATATGTATCATTCTGAAGTTGTCTTTAAATTATGCAAACTATTTTTTTATTGAAACGTACTTCCCAATTTGTTGTCATAAAGCATTAAAATTTTCCAAAAAGCTTATTTTGTTTAAGAAAATATTAATTTATATACCCACTGTAACAGCTAGTAAATCGAGGGTTTGACATATTTAGTAGTCTAATTATATCCTTTTAAAAAACAAAGATAACCTTTGTTTTACGAAGGAATGCAAAGGCAAGTCTGTAACTAGTTATTTTCTAATCTACATGAAGTTGTAGGTTAGGTTTATGACATTAGGTTCTGCTAATAGCATATTGAACAAAATAAAAAATGGTGTGCTGATTTTTTAGCCATAAACAAGCTGATTTATACTAAAATAAACAATGGTTTAGTAACAATTCTAATCAAAGTGATAGTACGAATTTGACACTTTCTGAATGACATGAAAATTATTTCACAGGTATAAAGAATGAGGATATGGTTTAGTTAATGAATTATTCATCTACCAAATGACACCCCTCCCCCCGAAAAAGACTAATTTCCTTTAAAAAAGGAATATCTACACCCAGTACTTTGATAAAATTCCAGTTGTTGTTTGAGTTTTCCAAATGTATAAATATTGTAGCCAGTGAATAAATAATATGAATCAGCAGACTAAGTGTCTTAGTTTCTTAGAGCTGCTGTAACAGAAGTACCACAGATGGGTGGCTTTACCAAACAAATTTATTTTCTCACAGTTAGGAGTCTAGAAGTCCAAATTCAGGGCGCTGGCTCTACAGGAAGACTTTCTCTCTCTGTTGGCTCTGGGAGAATGTCCTTGCCTCTTCAGCTTCTGTTCCTTGATTCCTTGGTGATCTCCAAATATTCCCCAATTTGTCCTTGCTTAACACAATGGTTAAGTGCTAACTGAAAGGTCGGTGGTTCGAACCTACCAGCTGCTCCTTTGGAGAAAGATGTGTCAGTCTGCTTCCATAAAGATTTACAGCCTTGGAAACCCAATAGGGGCAGTTCTGCTCTGTCCTTTAGGGTCGCTGTGAGTCAGAATTGACTAGACACCAACAGGTTTCTTTTTTTTTTTTTGTCTCAGTGCCTAAGCTGCTCCTGTGATATCTCAAAAGTGATTGGCTTAAGACACACCCTACACTGATATTAACATAAGGAAGAAAACCCTATCCCAGATGGGATTGTATCCACATATATAGGGGTTAGGATTTGTAACACATGTTTTTGGGGGACACAATTTAATCTGTAACACCAGGTAAGAGACCAGATGTACTTTTCCAGCTGAAATAAGTGGTTTTGCATTATAGCCTTCACATCTGTATATTTCTGCATCTTCCTCCACATCTCATCTCATCTCTGTTTTCTAAAAGCTCTCCGCTATTTTTTGTTGCTAACCAGAGTTATCTAATTCTATTTTATCTCCAGGGATGCTCTGAAACTGGTAGAGTTGAAACAGATGGACAAGATCACTGAATCGAAACCGACGCCAGTGCCTCTAGCCCCTCCAACCACTCCCACAGCACCTTTGCCCACACCGGCCTCAGGAGGGCCATCCTATCCCCGGCCAATGATCCCACCAGTATCAACTCCTGGACAACCTAATGCAGTGGTAACATCGTTCAAATAGATTTTTAATTTTCAGATTTATGTGAGAGAGAGAGAGAGAGGGAAAATTAGGACAATGAATGTATGTTTTATGAGTAATTTTACCAGTCCACTTCGGTAGTAGTTAAAAGTAATAAAGAAAAAACCACTCTGAGTGCTTTATTTGCAGATTTCTTAGCACAAACCAAATTTGTTTGTACAGTGCTAACTTCCAAATAGAAAAATTAGACTATAACTCAGTTTATCACAAATTCTACAACTACAGTACCATGTGTATGCCCTATAATCATGCTATTTTCATGTCTCTTTTTCCTCAGATATCATATTAATAATTGGTAGCTGATAGGAACTCCCTTTTGTGGATATGTTTTATTTTTTAAATAGGAAGTGAAGTGGTTAAGAGCTAAGACTGCTAACCAAAAAGGATGGCAGTTCTAGTCCACCAGCTGCTCCTTGGAAACCCTATGGGGCAGTTCTCCTCTGTTCTATAGGGTCGCTGTGAGTTGGAATTGACTCAGCCGCACACAACAGCAGTCACACCGTGAGGAACTATATGGACTGTATAGCTAATTGTTCTTTCCTTCTCAGATGCTTGCAGTGTAACAGCCCTTTTTTGTTTTCAAATTACTCCACTTTGTCACTTCTGTATCCCTTTTCTAGTATCTTTCTGTATCCCGTTCCTGGTACGTCATTTGCTTCTCATCAGAAAAAATATAGGAAAGTCAGTTCATTTGAAACTGAATGGGTGTTAAAAAAAAAAAACAGAAAGATGAAAAATAAATAAACTTACATTGCTGTTTCTAATGGAGAAATATATTCTGATACAATATTTTAGAAGAGTTAAAATCATTGTAAGTTTCATGGGAAAGATTTTTAGTGTGCGTTAATGATCCATGACTACATACATAAAAAGTTTATATGTAGTCAAATCTGAATTATTTTTCTAAAAAAGTCAAATTATGAAGGCAGACCTTATTTTCAGATTCTTATGGTATGCAGAGAGCGTTCATTCTATTTGATAAAGTACTTTGGTAACATAAATAAAAATATTTAATTCCCTGTCTAAAAGAACATTCTTAAAAAGGAAATCATCTGAACTTTCTGCTGCTTTGTATTTATCCTAATCTGATTATAATTCATTCCCAGAATGGAATGAAGGACAAGGAAGGAATTAGGTATAATTTGAGGTCCATTATGCTTCTGTGAGAGATTCAAGGAACGGAATGGAAAAAGCCATAGTAAACTTATAGTAAGATTTTATTATCTTATTCATACCTTATATTATGAATTCCTAGGAAATCACATACTCATATAATTTTTTTAAATTGCAAACCAAAAAAGAAATAACTTGGCAGATTATCTGGTATATTAATTATCTTTTCCTACCATATACCATTTTTATAAGTAAGGATTGCTTGTTGTAAATAAGGATTGCCTATACAGGTAGTCCTCAACTTAGGACACATTTGAATTTACAGTGAACCGCACTTAATGACCATCCGTTTTTTTGTTTTTGTTTTTTCATCTTATTGTTGGTAATATGTACTACATATAATGTTGCAGCGTGTAATTTGCTAATGTTATCATTCTCATGCCAACCCCCAAAGACAAATAAAGATCAGATTTATAAAGATACTGATAATAAAAGGCAATAATAATGAAAACTAAAAAAAAAAAAAAAAATTGTGGTATTCAACTTAATGTCAGAACTGACTTACAACAGAGTTGTCAGAACGGAACCCCCTCATAAGCTGGGGACTACCTATAGCTGGTTTGTTAATTTGTTTGGCTGCTTTCAGTTTTATTAAGTGATAGCTAAAGCTGCCTGTAGGTGGTGTCCCATCCATGGGACAATTATTCATGATTTGGTAGATTTTTAAATCATCTTAAACACAGTAACGTAAGATGCCCCATTCAAAATTGAAACATGAATTTTACTACTTTTATCTACAGTCATATACTGTAAAACCACAAGTCCTCAGATTTCCTTATTTTTAACCCTACTTATGCCCTCGTACTAAAAATTTTTAATAGTATTTTTTCTGTATTAGTCTTTAATTAATGTTGTAAGTTAGGTTACTGAGACTAAATTCCAGTTATGAAGTTTTGGGTTTTCTTTTCCATCCCAGCTAAGGTTTACTGGACAGATTGCTATTTCTTTGCAGGGCACATTTTCCGAAATCCCTGCTAGCAGTATTCGAAGAGTTATTGCCAAGAGGTTAACTGAATCTAAAAGTACTGTACCTCATGCATATGCTACTACTGACTGTGACGTTGGAGCTATTTTAAAAGTAAGACAAGATCTGGTCAAAGGTTAGTAAAATTGAATTTACTTAATACAGTACACATGCTAACTTAACTATCGTGAAATCCTTTATTTGTAAAACCCACATTGTGTAGCATTTTATTTCAATTTCAAAATCTAGTTGTACTCTACTCTGGGAGTATTTTAGTGTTAGAGAAAGGAATTGGTTCTATTTTCCTGTAAGAAATAAATTGATTCCATAGTATTGAATAAATCATGAATGTATTACTTTTATGCAGAATAAAGGTTTCTGCTCTGGCCTGCTTTTATTCACTCTTTTGTCATATTTGAATAATGTACATTTGCTTAACATTCATTCAGCAGGCAGTTATTCAGTGCCAACTTTTCTACCACACATTGAGCTGTACAAATAGTATTATGGATTTTTGTTGTTTGTTCTTTCTTTCTTAAATCAAAAATAGTCTTAATTTTTTATTTGCTTTTATTTTCACATATGTGAATTATTTTGTAAGGAAACATGAATGACTTGCTCAGGCTAAACAATTGTTGTTTTGAATGACTTCCCAAATACTTTTTGTTACAATATCTGAACAAAGCAGTCCTTAATATTTTAGCACCTACAAACAAGTATGAAATCCAAAACTGATTTAAGAATGTGTTACATTGTAAGTAGAGCTTAGATATCACTCTTCTTTATACAAGTTTTCATTTTATGTTTCTTCAAAATGCCTTCAGGTTATTTGTAATTTGTACTACAAAATAAATGTGTAATATCCTTCCCAAAAATCAATTAAAAGTATCAGGTTGCTGGGAGATTTATGAATTTTTAGCATGAACTGATGATTTTCTTTCTTTCTCTCCAATTTATATGCCTTTAATCTTGCCTTAATATTCTGGCTAGAACCTCCAGTAGAATGATGAATATAAGTGGTATCCTTGCCTTGTTGTTGATCCTGGGGAAAACACTCAGTCTTTAATGTTAGCCTATAGGTGTTTTGTAGATGCCATTTATAAGGTAGAGAAAATTCCTGTTCCTAATTTACTGAGAGCTTTAAGCATGAGTGGATGTCCTGTACACTCCCATACTCCGATAATGGTTAATCAGCCAATTCCTGTGTTTGTCTCTCCTCAGAGAGGGATTGTCTCCCTTTGGAATTCAGTTCACCTGTTTGCTTTGTGACCTCAGCTCCCTGCTAGTCAAGAAAAATTATGATTTTTATAGTTTCTCCTGTTTTTTCTCATTGTTAGGATGTGACCAATTTTCTCTTGTGGCTCTTTGACATTCAGTTTAGATACAGACTTTAAAGATTTCATATTAAAACAACCTGAAAGCTTTCAAAGTTCAAGAAACCAAATGGAAAGCTACTTCAGAGAAAGTGGTCAGTTTTCAAAAAGCTAACCCCTGGGAGCTCCCTTCATAGGTCTCAAATCGTACTTGCTTAGTCATAACATACAGATACTTGGAATAATTTTTCTGGTTCCTTCACCAAAGGTGTTTTCTCATGAGGCAGGAGACAGTAATGTTTCAGTAGAGATTTAGATTTAGTATCTTTGCATGGTCCAAGTTTGGTATGTCCTTGCAATTAGAAGTTTTCTGGTGAGTCTTCAAAGAGTACAAATTATCTGTCTACCTACCTTCCTACCAACCAATTTATCTATCTGTCTCTCTCTTCCTTTCTTATATATAACATAACATTCTATAGGCATGTTCCATAGTTTGCTTTTGTAACTTAACACTGTGCAAAGAAGAACATTTGATATTCCCTCACAAATTATTTCCTACTCTGTTCTTCTCAATAATGTCACCAATGATCTCTTTTGTGTATGTTTGAAAATTCCCATAGTAAAGAGTTAATAATAAAGGAACTTGAAGAAATCTCCTTTCGACATACTAGATTTGAGATGCCTATTAGACACGTAAGTGGAAATGTCATGTGAGAAATTGGATATATAAGTCTGAAGTTCCCCATAGGTGAGGATCAGAGGTAGAATTTAGAGGCATCAACAGCATGTAAATGGTATCAAAACGATGGAACTGAAAGTCCTCACCTGGAGAGATGCAAGCGTTGAGAGGAAGGGGCTGAGAATGAGTGTGTAGGCAGATGGTGTGAGAAAATCAGGAGAGTATAGTGACATGGGAGCTAGTAAGAGAAAGTGTTTCAAGATGAAAAACGTGATCAACTCAAAAATGCCTCTAAATGTTGGAGTATGATGAGGACAGAAAATTTTAGGTGAGGATTCTGGATGTAGAAGGTCAATTTAGGAGTCATTCGTTTGGTAGGTGGTTTTGGAAGTCTTTTCTATGAATACTGTGGGTGGTAAATAAAGCAAGAAGGAAGCTGAAGGAGCCATGAGAGGTTAGCATAATGAGTTCATAAATAATATGTTGGAATTTATTTGAATTTGTGCAGCCCAAATCTTTTGTATGTGATTATCAATAAAACTCTCAAGCATTGAAATCTGTTTATATTCTACTTCGAAAGGGATTTTAAACAAATGAACAAAAATCTTTATATATCTCTGGAAAACTGAATTAGAAGAGTTAGGATATCATGCAGCCGGCAGTTACTGTTACAGCTTGACAGTGTTTAGTAATACATCTAATCTCTTTCTGAAATCTCCAGCATGCTTTTGGAATGAGCTGTTGTTCATGTAAAATTCCATAATATTGTAGTAACCAGGTTTGTGTATCCTGCCACATACCATTGACTATATCTTGATCTTAAAAGTCTTTTTCTGGAAACTCTTACAAGAAGGAATCAAGTGTAGTTTGGTTTTTCCAACACTTCCATACGCACTGAGAAGAGCAAAAGTATAAGTCAGATGCTTTAGTTATGGTCAGTTGTGTGTGAAGGGAAGTGATACCAGTTTTATCTTAAAATCAGTGTGTATGCTTGCGAGAAATTGATTCAAATGGATTCGCCATAAAATTAGACAGAGAACCTCATCTTATTCTTTGAACTAGGACCTATGCCAGCATTGCTTCATCTTTGGCATTTGCTATATCCTGTTTTGTAAGTTAAAAAGCAATTTTTATTAGATGCAGTGGTCTAAAGTTTTTTGGTTGTACCCCCCCGTAAGTAAAAAGAAATATATATAATTGTTTATTTAGTGTCAACGTGTACCACTGTTCTAATATAATCAATATATTATAAAGCATACACAAAATAAGGACATTTTAAAAGGATGAGGGAAATAAATGAATCATCTTGTAAACTTCCTGGCTACACACCCCACAGAGAGAAAGACCATTAGTCTTCGTAGAGACATAGAAGTTGGTTATTTTCTTTCTGATTATAGTTGTAATACATCAGTCAAGTTCTTGTGCATGATATCTGAGCAGTTTTAAAAAATTATAATAAAAGTCCAGAGTAAAATTTTACATTCATGGTTAATATTATTTATTCAGGACCTCATATAATGAAAGTTTTTCCAGTCAGGGGAACATTACTGGCTAAGCAAACAAGCAAAAAACCTGTAATATATTTTATCATCATTAATGTAATCTGTAAGTTGCAAGTTTGAAATCGTAATGATTCTTGTTAAAGTTCTATTATTAATACTAATTTTAATGTGCTTGTTTTTTCTTTTCAGATGACATTAAAGTATCAGTAAATGATTTTATCATCAAGGCAGCAGCTGTTACCCTTAAAGTAAGCAATCCCCAAATAATTTTGGCTTTTAAAGTAATCTCACATCTTGAGATTTCTATAACAATAAATAGTACTCTATTTTTAAGTCAAAAATTTTATAATTTTATTGCTAAAAATATTCTATTTTTTAATCTCCCTCGTTTTACAGATGAAGAAACGGAACCATAAGGACTCACAACTAATTATAGCAGAGTAAACACCAGTCACTCAATGAATAGTAATTGAACCCATCTTGTGCTAAGATGAATATGTTCTAGACATTAGAGATATAGCGGTGAACAAAAACCAGCATAGTCTCTGCTCTCACAGGGCTTATATTCTAGTAGGAAGAGACAAATAAATATATGTCAGATGGTGAGAAGTGCTGAGAAGAAAAATAAAACAGGTTAAGAGCACAAAGAACTAGGGGTGCTGTTGTCAAAAGTTACACAGGGAAGGTCTCTCTTGCACAGTGATATTTGAAAGAAGAGGGTGAGCCAAGTAGATATCTGAGAGAAGAGTGTTCCAGATAGTTATTGTCGTTTGGTGCCGTCAAGTCATTTTCAACTCATAGTGACCTCATGTAACAGAGTAGAACTGCCCCATAGGGTTTTCTAAACTGTAATCTGTATGGGAGCACATCACCAGGTCTTTTCTTCTACAGAGCCACTAGGTGGGTTTGAACCACCAATCTTTTTTTTAGCAGCCGAGCTCTTAACCATTGCTCCACCAGGGCTCCTTTATTCTAGACAGAGGGAATAGCAGATCAAAGGCTGTGACTCTGGATCAGGCCATTCAGGATACAGCAGCACTGGGTAGATAGACGCCTAGAGTGGAGTTAGCAAGGGTGGAAAGGGATAGATGAGACTGAAAAAAGAGAGGGAGAGGTTGAAGGGGGCCAAAGCATGTAAGGCTTTCTTGGCCACGGTAAGTAAGGAATTGAGATTTTTATGATGAATAAGAAGGAAGCCTCTGAAGGATTTTGAGCAAAGGACTAACATGATGTGATTTACACTTAAAAAAAAAAACAAAACAAGAAGAGACTACTTTGGTTGCAATTTGAGTGCAGACTGTGGAGAGGCAAGAGTGAAAGTAGCCAGCTCCCCTAGGAGGCTGTGTAGTCGTCTAAGTACAAGGTGACATACTTGATTGGAGCAAGGGGTAGCAAGGAGCCGGGATGAAGTGGAGACTTTGGTTATGTTTTAAACGTAGAGCCAACAGGATTTGCTGATAGATTGAATGTCAGGTGTATGAGATGAGAAAGAAGGTCGGGGATGATGCCAAGAATTTTGGCCCAAGCAATGGAAAGAATAGACTTTTTTATTTACCTAGCATACACAAAACACAAGGAAATTTTAAAAAGGGAAAACTAAGAGAGAAAGAGGTTTGAGGCAGGGAATTAGAATTTGGCTTTGGACACAATAAGTTTGAGGAGCCTACAGATGTCCAAGTGAGGGTGGCAGGAAGACAGCTGAACATATGAGCCTGGAGATGTAAATCTAGAACTTACTGCTCGGCAGCATTTCCATGATGGTTTTTATTTTTGTTGTTTTTGTTTTGTAACTAGGCTATTTTCTGAGATCACTTCTTTTTAGGTACTGTATTTACAGTATATAATGAATTTATTTTTTATTAAAAAAGAAATACAGTGATAGATTTCATAGACACTTGTGTGATCTTCTAAAAAAATATTCTTTAAAATATTTCAAAGATATATCGGTATTTGTTGGCATTTTCATGCTAGCACACAGAAAGGCTTTGAACTTTATTATTCCAGATGATGATAAATACTTATGTGTCAAAATACCATTTTAGAAAGCAGTGAAATGACTACTTCACATAGTAGTGTTACGAAAAGTGAAAACTTATTTGTTAAAAGTAAGTTACTATGTGCAGCCCTTATCCAAGGGGAGAGGATTACAGAAGGGCATGAATACCAGGAGGTGTGGGGATCATTTGGAGGTATCTTAGAGGCTGCCTACCACCATTACCATGTAGTGACTCTCTACATCAAATGTTTAATGCTAATATCCTTTCATTCAACTTGTGATATTCATTTTGTAACCCCTGGTATCTCTTTGTCTATTCTTTAAATTTCCTGAGTCATTTTGTTTTAGTATGTAATGAACATTTTTAATGCACTCTTGTCTTTAGGCAAGCTTATTGAAATTAGATTTATTGTTACTACAAATAAGTTTGGGTTTTATCATTACTGTTTTGTGTATGGTGTTATATAGAATTTCTAAAGTTATTCTAGCAAATTAACATTGAACTTCTGTGATAAATGTTCTGTGGGAACTATAAAAATAGAAAACATGAATTATGTCCTAGAGGCATTCATTGTATGGTATGCTGGATGATGATGTTCTTGTTGTTAGGTGCCGTCAGGTTGGTTCCAACTCACAGTGACCCTGTGTACCACAGAACAAAACACTGCCCAGTCCTGTGCCATGCTCACAATTGTTGTTATGCTTGAGTCCATTGTTGCAGACCCTGTGTCAATCCATCTTGTTGAGTGTCTTCCTCTTTTTCGCTGACCCTGTACTTTACCAAGAATGATGTCCTCCAGGGACTGATCCCTCCTGATAACATGTCCCAAGTATGTGAGAACTAGTCTCTCCATCTTTGCTTCTAAGGAGCATTCTGGCTGTACTTCTTCCAAGACAGATTTGTTCCTTCTTTTGGCAGTCCATGGTATATTCAATATTCTCCAACACTATAATTCAAAGGCATCAGTTCTTCAGTCTTCCTTATTCATTGTCCAGCTTTCACATGCATATGAGGCAATTGAAAACATCATGGCTTGGGTCCGTGCACCTTAGTCTTCAAGGTGACATCTTTGCTTTTTAGCACTGTAAAGAGGTCTTTTGCAGCAGATTTGCCCAATGCAATGCGTCTTTTGATTTCTTGACTGCTGCTTCCACGGGTGTTGATTGTGGATCTAAGTAAAATGAAATCCTTGACAAGTTCAATCTTTTCTCCATTTATCATGATGTTGCTTATTGGTCCAGTTGTGAGGATTTTTGTTTTCTTTATGTTGAGGTGTAATGCATACTAAAGGCTGTGATCTTTGATCTTCATATGCTGGGTAGACCAGATATAAACAAATAAAAATTACCTTGTCATAAACCCCAAAATCTGACACATGCTAGAGTGGAGTAGTTAGCTCTAACCTAAAATATAAGCTGTAAGAGAGCAGGGGTTTCTTGCCTTTTTTGTTCATTGGTGTGTCCCCAGTGCTTACATATTTATTGAATGAATGAATGAGTATTCTGGCACATAAAAAGCATTGGATTATGGCATTATTGAATGAATCAAGGATCTGAACCTTGAAAGATGAAGAAGTAGAAAGAGCAGTTGAAGAGTGATGTGAAGATAGTACTGAGATGGAAATGAGCATAGCGTGACAGTGGGAAGCCCCGGTAGAGTGGAAAATTCATCTTAGAAGAGTGATCAGAAATAAAATTAGATAGATAGAGTAGAATCAAATCGTGAATTGCCATGCTTAAATGACATGCTGGAAGACTAAATCTTATTTGAGGGAGGAGGGAGAGGCAAAGAATTTTTTTTTTTCCCTCTCCTTTTCTTTATTTCTTATTGTTAAAACAGATTTATTTGGCTTAAAAAAAAAAGAACTGCGTGCATTTCAAGTGTACGATTTGGTAAGTACTGACATATATATAAATCCAGGAAAGCATCACCGAAATTAATATAGTAAATTTATCGTCATGCCCCTTGGTAATCCCTTCCTCCCACTCTTCCATGCTCTCCACCTTCCAGGCAAACAGTGATCTGGTTTTTTTTTTTTTTGGCCTTTTATTATTATTATTTTTTTATTGTACTTCCGGTGAAGGCTTACAGAATAGTTTCTCATGAAACAGTAGTACACATATTGTTTTATGACATTGGTTAACAACCCCACAACATGTCAGCCCTCTCCCTTCTCGACCTTTTTTTTTTTGGTGAAAATATACATATCCAAAGATTACACCATTCAAAAAATTTCCACATGCCCTGTTCAGTGACATCGACTACGCTCTTCCAATTGTGCTGCTATTCTGACTTTAGATGAAGGCTTACAGAACAAAATAGTTTCTCATTTAACAGTACACATGTTGCCCTATGACAATGGTTAACAACCTCACAACATATCAGCAATATCCTTACTCAACCTTGGGTTCCTTATCACCAGCTTTCCTGTCCCCTTCTGCCTTCTGGACCTTGTCCCTGGACTGCTGTGCCTCATTAGTCCCATTTGGTTTTATGGGGCTGTCCACTCCCCGGCTGAACGGTGAACCTCGGAGGTAACTTCACCACTGAGCTAAAAGGGTGTCTGGGGGCCGTACTCTCGGGGTTTCTCCAGTCTCTGTCAGGCCAGTAAATCTGGTCTTTTTTCTTTTTGGTGAGTTAGAATTTTGTTCTACTTCCTTCTCCAGCTCTGTCCAGAACCCTCTGTTGTGATCCTGGTCAGAGCAGTCAGTGGTGGTAGCCAGGCACCATCTAGCTGTACTGGACTCAGTCTGGTGGAGGCCTTGGTAGCTGTGGTCCCTTAGTCCTTCGGACTAATCTTTTCCTTGTATCCTGTTCTCTTCATTCTCCCTTGCTCCCGAAGGGATGAGACCAGTGGAGTATCTTAGATGGCTGCTCACAGACTTTTAAGACCCCAGATGCTACTCACCAAGGTAGAATGTAGAACATTGTCTTTATAAACTGTGTTACGCCAGTTGAGCTAGATGTTCCCCGAGACGATGGTCCCTACAGTCCTCCACCCAGCAATTCAGTCCCTCAGGAAGTTTGGATGTGTCTTTGGAGCTTACATGACCTTTCCTTTTACAAACTGTGCTGGTTTCCCCTGTGTTGTGTACTGTCTCACCCTTCACCCAAGATACCACTTATCTATTGAGGCAAAGAATTTTTGAGAAAACAAATCAATTTTTAGATTTCTATTTTTCAGCATCATTTTCTGCTATGATATTTGGCAACATTATCAATACACACTGTATTATTTAGTCATTTCATCTAACTTTTTTTATCCTGAGTATAGTTGTATATATGTTAAGTATACATGCTTATATATAGTATATATCATGTTTATGAAGCTTAGGAAATCTCTCTTAGATAGGGAAATCATTTATTGAGGGTCTCCTAATATATTTCAGGGCTATGTTAGAAAATTAAGTGTCCTTCATACCAAAGAAATAATGTAGATGAATATCGCCAACCTTTTTTCTCTCCCCTTTCCCCATCAAGGTTATCATGTGAGGCAGGAAGTATAGCAAACATCATTTAGCTTCTAGCATTCCGATTTAACAAAGGAAGCTCCTTTTTTAACCATGATACAAAAAAAGATCAAAACATGTAGATCATCAGAATTTTCTCCAGCTTGCTTCAAAAAGATGTTTAATTATTCTTCCAGAACCTAAAAAAGATATTTAATACAGAAATCCAAACTGTATTTTTCGAACTGAATTTTTATGTATTTCCTGTCTTGCTATGTTCACTTTAGAAAATGCATAATAATATGTAAATTATTTTCCTGTAACCACCTCGGTCTAAAGCTGCTTCTTTAGTGGGATGTTTTTCTATTTCTGTCTTCTAGCAAATGCCAGATGTCAATGTAAGCTGGGATGGAGAGGGCCCAAAGCAACTGCCCTTTATTGACATTTCAGTGGCTGTGGCAACAGATAAAGGCTTAATTACACCAATCATAAAAAATGCTGCTGCTAAGGGTATACAGGAAATTGCTGACTCTGTAAAAGTAAGTCTTAAGAAATAAATAGTATGCTTTCAAAATCTTAGAATTCACTTTCAGATAGTTAAAGTGTTATATGATCTGGTCACTGTCGTTTTGTGTGTGTTTGGTGATTGTTGTTGTTTTGGTATTTCCAAGTGATTGTCATTAGTATATATAGCGTTTAAATTTTTAATCCAGATATGACTCATTTTAAGAAAATTTAATATTCAAAAATTCAGAAATAATATCCAGATAAATTAAGTGCCACCTGCATGCAAATTATAGAAGAACACTTTCTTTCACGAAATCTAGAATTCAACTCTCAATATGCTGTTTCACATACGATTTTAAAATTTAAATAAAACTGAAAGTATATTTCTGTGAACATGGTAATGGATAGACCTCAATGTTAACAGCATTTTATTTTTACAAGGAAGTTTCTCACTTAGTAATGGCCAGATTAATTATTCTTGTAGAACCATAACGTTTTCAAAATAATATTTGAAAAACTGCTCCTAAACTTCCAGAAATGATTGGGGTCATAGATCTGTTGAACTGTGGACTCTCCCTAACAAAGCGTACTATCTGCTACACACTTTTCCCTGATCTTCACTTGGCTGGCTCTTTTCATCATTCATTTAAAATATGACTTTCTTAGACTTTCTGTGGCTTCCATAGCTAAAGTACCTCCATAACGCTGTTTATCATATTACCGTCTTTCATTGTCTTCATGCGCTTTCTCAGCCTTTGAAACTACCTTGTTTATTTGTTGACTTGTCTGTGTTGCCTATTGCCTGCCACAATGTAGAATAAGAATAAGGGCGTTGACTCTCTTGTTTACTGCCGTATTTCCAATTCTAGAAATATACTTGGAATATAGTAGTTGCTCAATGAATGTTTATTAATTTTTCAAGTGGTTTGTGGGTCCTTGGACGCCTATCCATGGACCCCCGGTTAAGCACACCTGCACTGAGTATTCACTTCTTGATCCTCAGAAATCCCAAGGATATCCGTGTCTAGGGCTAAATGCATGCCCCAGCCAAGTTCAAGTTTGTATTCCTTGAATAAAGTAATATAGTAACAGCTGATTATTTAGCCTTAGATCCCATGCTATTCTTAATTCTTCATTAATTATAACATTTTTTCATTAAATTAATAAGGCACATAGTACATTCTTGAAATATTTGCTATTCAACTTTTATTATATCCTTTCAGCTGGGTGCTTCAGGTAGCATGTGCTTTGATTTTAAGTTCACATTGCCAGGAAATCCCGGTGAGAATTAGGAATTTTCAGAATGAACAGTCCTACTCAGAATCTATACTTATTCCAGACTCTTAGAATTCACATTTGAATTCATTGGCAGTAATATTCTGCTGACTTATTTAGGGGTCTAGAGGTAGTTTTTTGGTTTGTTTTTTATTTTTTTTACTGTAGTATGCATGCTTACAATCTAGTCTTTAAAATAAATTTTGTTTTTGATTATTCCAACCTGGTAACTCATCAGGGTATGTTGAGATCATCTGCCTTTAGAGAAATACTTTTTGAAATTCATATGATATGTGCCTCTTCAGATCATGAATCGTGAACAATTCTTTTGCGTAAGGCAGGAAAAAATACATTCGTAGATTGTTCTCTCTATTTCTGATATTCCGAGGACAAGTCAAAGCTCATCTCTTCATTTTTGGTTTTGGATTCAAAAAATTTTTATAACTTTATATATATAGTTAATTATATATCTGTAATTCTCTCATTTTTCAGTAAGTCACATTGGTATATAGAGATCATTTTTGTATTTTTGAGATTTTTAAAGAATGTTTTAGTTTTTAAAAATTTAATAATCTGGTTTAAAGTTAAGTACTTATCACCTGTGATTGTAATAGTACTTTTGTTGGCCACGTAATACAGAATATTAGGTACCAAAACCAAACCCATTGCATCGAGTCGATTCTGACTCATAGCGACCCTACAGGACAGAGCACAACTGTCCCATAGAGTTTCCAAGGAGCGGCTGGTAGATTCGAACTGCTGACCTTTTGGTTAGTAGCCAAGCTTATGTAAGCTCCAATTTATTTCATCTACCCAAATGATAATAACTTATAATTTTTCTCTACCTTTCCCCTCCCCTCATAAAATAATTCATTATTTTTCATGTATGATGACTTCAACCTCTTTTCCCTTGCTTTTGAGGCACTGAAAATTATAGAGTAACAGAGTAGAGCTAATTGCAAGTGCAAGTACAAGGGAAATTTAACTACTTTTCTTAATGTCACTCTCAGAGTGTCATCTGTCTTTTCCCTCTGCTTTGTCAGCTTTTAGAAATCAGTGTTGTCAAAAGTGATATGAAGCTAGTACATTTTTATATTCCTTGTGGCAATGTAAATTGGACTAGCTCATTCAGGAAATGCTTTAGCTATAGGATCAAGAATCCAAAACAAAAAAAAAGTCCATTCTTTAGAGCCCTGTAATTCCACTTCAAAATAATTCAGAAGAAACAAATGAACCAAAATAGATAGTAACACTGGGGAAATAAGTAAATTATGGCAGATACATTCTTTACGATGTTAAACAGACATTTAAAAAACATTCATAAAAACTGTAACAACACAGAAGTGAAATACAAAATTATCTTTCTCTTTACATCTGTCTGAAATTATATATATGTTGTTGATAAGGCTAGAAGCAAATACTGAAAGATGAAAACTATTATGTTGGTTGTGGGATGGTGGGTACACTGTTTTGGTTGCCATTGGATAATTTATTTAAAACCTGCTAAATGGTGTGAAATGTTCTAATATTTTACAAGAAAAATATTTATAAGCAAAACAGAAAATTGCTTTGTATATAGAGAAAACACTGAAACATTTCTGCATAGTAATGGTGCACCGGCTACTTCAATTCCAGTATTTGAAATTTTTTTAAGGGAAGTGATTTTTCCTGAGTTTTGATTCACATCTTTACATTCTTGGATTATCTCTACTCTAAATTATTATTTTAATTGCACTGAATAGAGAAAAATATTTATAGATAAAACAGAAGGTCAAACCAAGCATACCAGAGATGGGTATATACCCTGTGCAAATACCTCAGGTGTTCCATATAACTAGCAGGATTAGCTATATAAGATATTGTTGGTCATGATGCTCTGTTTGCATTTTTCTCAGGCTCTTTCAAAGAAAGCACGAGATGGAAAATTGTTACCAGAAGAATATCAAGGAGGATCTTTTAGGTAAAATTTAAACCCTTGATTATCAGTAATATCACACATATATAAGACTTATTAAGTCCATGTCAACCTGTTTCATTTGTCTGAAACGTTTTTTTTAATTTAAGCTAAATACTACATACTTTATTTAGACAACAGAATGTGAAAAATATATATATACACTATTATAAATGGTATTTTTTACATTTCATTTTCTAATTACTGCGTAATTCTCTTATATCTATACTTATATATAGATACCTGTTATCTATTGATCTAGCTAAATTCACTTATTAATTTTACAAGTTTGTGTAGTCTTGTGGGTTATCTATGTGTACAATCAGTTCATCTGTGAATAGTGAGTTTTTTTCTTTTTTCCGGTCCTTTTACCTTCTATTTCTTCTTGTCATATTCCACTGGCTAGGACTTACAGTTCAATGCTGAGTAAACGTTTGATGGTATATGTAATATTTGTATGTCCAGTGACATATGTTCTTTGGCATTTGAATAACTTGATATAAGGTTCAGTAACAGTTTTTTTGTAAAGTAAAAATATGCTTCAGGATAAGGATGCTTTGTTTAAGGACTTGCTACCTTCAGAGCTTTTTTTCTTTTTTTCCTTAGTATTTCCAACCTGGGGATGTTTGGCATTGATGAATTTATTGCAGTGATCAACCCACCTCAGGCCTGCATTTTGGCTGTTGGGAGATTCCGGCCTGTTCTGAAATTCACTCAGGATGAAGAAGGCAATGCCAAGCTGCAGCAGCACCAACTCATAACGGTCACAATGTCAAGTGACAGCCGAGTGGTAGACGATGAACTGGCCACCAGGTTTCTTAAAAATTTTAAAGCCAACCTAGAGAATCCTTTCCGGCTTGCCTAGTCCTCAAAGATAAGAAGATGGTCTTTGGCTCAGCTAATTGTAAAAGTGTTACCGATAGAAAACAGTTAGGATATTTAAGGGCAAAGTGGATGAAATGTTTATTTATTTAAGGTAAAAGAGTTTGACCCAAGTTGTCTTCATTATCAATTTGGGTTTAATGTTATAGAAATAAATGATAAACTGTAACTAATAAAGGAAAACGAACACTTGGCTAGATAAGTTCATTAAATTCTGGTGCTGTACAAAAGGGGTGTTTAGTAGATGTGAATCAAATTATACGTTTGTCTCATTTGAGAGTTTTAGAATATTTAAGATTTTATGCTAAATTGTGAAATAAAGAAATTGTTTGAAATCTAACTTAACTGTGTTGAAGTTAGAAGTGGTCTTCAAAGAGATGACTGTTAATCTAGCAGTCAGACCTCACTTTTATAACCACTACTCTAAATGTACTTGAACAATTTAATATGTACAGAAGTTTACTCTGGACAATAGTGAATAATAAGGATCACATCAAATTAGGGGTAGTGACAACATTATTGAATTTTTATGTATATAAAGCCATATATTTTAGAGTGGTTTCTTATCAGTCTTATTTTTCACTTCTATAACACTGTGAGCTTCTAAAGAGAAAGAACAAAGAAACAAAAAGAAGAGAAAGAGAGATCGAAAGAGTTATGTTTGCTTGAATGGAAAACTATAGCTGAAGTATCTAAACCTTCAAATATCAGCTGCTCACCTTCATGCTGAGTTGGAAATATGTTTAAATAAATTGTGTTATCTCCTAAAAAAAATTTTATGTTAATGTTGATTTAAATACAAATGTTTCTTAATGCATTTTAATCACGTTTGTATTGTACAGTAAAATATGAGAAAATAGAAAATATTTTATTGTCTCTTACGTGTTAAGACATAGAAGTTATTAAAAATTGAAGTGAACTAGTAATTGCCCTGGAACAGTCTAGAAGGGACTGCCTGTATAGGAGGAAAACAAACAAAAAACCAAACCCATTGCCATTGAGTCAATTCTGACTCATAGGACCCTGTGGGACAGAGTAAAACTGTCCCATAGGGTTTCCAAGGAGCAGTTAATGGACTGGAACTGCCAGCCTTTTTTGGTTAGCAGCCAACCTCTTAACCACTGCACCACCAGGGCTCCAGAAATTTAGATTAACATGACAATAGGAAAATAACAGGGAATGTAAAGTTTTGGAGAGTGGGAGAATGTGGCTCACGAAGCAGAGCAGGTGAGAGCTATCCTTTTTATTCATTTGATAATATAAAACTTTTACTAATTATTATAAAGATTAAAACCGAAAAACCAAACTTGTTGCCATCGAGTCGATTCTGACTCATCGTGACCCTATAAAACAGAGTAGATCTGCTCCATAAAGTTTCCAAGGAGTGGCTGGTGGATTGAAACTGCTGATCTTTTTTGGTTACCAGCAGAGCTCATAACCGCTGTACCACCAGGGCTTCATTATGTAGGTTAGAAGAGCTTATTTCTCTCTCTCACTTTTTTTTTTTTTTTTGCAAAGCTGCTACAACTAGCAAGATATATGAATTAAATTGGATGTTAATGAATGGTATATATAACTTAAATTGGATGTTAATGAATGGTAATTTGGTTAACCAGTCACATGGGGTCACTGTGCCGATTCGCTAGCACCTAACAGCAACGACAGTCACAGAAAAGCTCGAGTTAGTGTCTGCTGACATTATTTCACCAGAAGAAAGACTATATGGTGCATGGCCTGTGGTATGACACAGTGTGCTTAAGCCCTAACAAAAGCACCTTCTAAAATAGAGCCCCAATATATCAATTGTTAAGTAGATACTTAATCCAGTACTTAGGTTTAACAAACTTTTTTTAAAAAGTTTTTAAAACTCTTGTCATATTACAGTGATACTGAAAATTATAAACAAATGCTATTTTCAAAATAACTCTTATAAGTTACATCATTTTCAAGGTGAGTTTTAACTGAAATTATTTGTTTTTTCTAATTTTTATATCCAACCTAAATTTTCTTTATATCCCACCTGATCAATTTTTTTTTCTGCAATTTCTTAGTTTATGAAATTATCAGAGTAACAGCAATAAATAAGCCTTGGTTTGGAATTTTCTTTTCCCATCGGCAGACTTGCATCGGTTTCCCTGTAGGTGAAGTGGGAGTTAATACCCGCCCCGATCTGCCGTATATAGAGTTGTGAACTTCACAGGAGAAATGCTATATAAACTTAAGACATTTTAATTCCTTATGGACTTCAGAGTCAGGATTTTCATCTAGAAAACTGCTTCTTATGGTTTAACTTCTGCAGCTTTTGGTACAGATCCTTATTCATTTCAGCAAAAATATTTCTCTAATAATTTTATACTGACTAGGTTTATATAAGAAAATTGTCGTTTCTATAAGGAATTCTCTTACAGCATGACATCAGAGAATACTGTTGCTTTGAGAAAGGATCATGGTATTTATTATTATAAAGGATGAACTGTGTTGCATGAGCAGACTCCTTTCCGCACCTACCAATTTATTTGTAGTACTGGAGCCCTAGTAGCAAGTGGTTAAGAGCTCGGCTGCTAACCAAAAGGTGGGCAGTTCGAATCCACCAGCTGCTTCTTGGAAACGCTATGGGGCAGTTGTACTCTGTCCTATAGGGTCACTGTGAGTCGGAACTGACTCGACGGCAATGGGTTTGGTTTTTTTTTGGTTACTGATAGGTAGCACACTGAGTGGATGTAATAATGAAATGTTATACCTGGTCATCTTTTTTCTCATTTAAACAGAGAATATGAGTAAAATATTTGGAAGACTTCTAAGGAAAAGGCAACACACATTCCAATTAACTTCTGGGGGATATGAAAACATCAGTGAATATTAGACTTTATTAGTCAAAAGAGCCCCACTTCTTTCTGATTGCAACTTCTAGTTAATATTCACAAACACAGCTTGCTCACTAACCGTTTGTGCCAGATTAAAATTATTAGTATGTGCTGGCCAGACTCCTTTGTTTGAAACATTAATAATATATTGATACATGCTGTTATAGGTGTTTCATATACAGTGTCAAATGAAACTTCATTTTTAGAATTTTTTTTCATTTTTGCATTTTGAATTTCAGACTAAATTGTAAAGGCCAGCCATATGCACTTTATGCTATAAGTAAACCTATTTTCCTAAGATAGGTGGTGCTATGAGTTAATATATTGTAAAGAGAATATGGAGGAGAAATAAAAATGGCATTTAAATCTTAATTTTCAAGAAAAATGTATCCTCGTTAATTTAAATACGACAGTAGGGAATGTTTGTTGACTTTTGAAGAAGGATATAACAATACAGAATAAGATTAGTCTGACCACAGTAGGCAAGGTAGATTAAAAACAGGAAGGGGACTGGAGTCAGCCAAGAACCACCTGGAAGCTTTTTCTCTAATGAAAGCATGAGTTGATTAGCATCTGCACTAGGTCAGGGGCTTTAAGAAGGGAGAGAATGAGGAGTATTAGACACGTGAGGATGCTATGCTATGTTATGGGTTTGCAGTGGAGTATGTATGGTCAGATAATGCCGCAGCAATGATGTAGTTTCCCAGTGCAATCCCCCTGGCCACATTGCCAACATCAAAAGATTTAAGATCCTGATACATTATGTACAGTAGATGGTATATTTCAGAAGCCATTTAGTAAACATAAATGTGAAAAACAGCAATCTTTTAACAAAATGATTTTAGATAGTTTTGTGTGTGTGTATATGTGTCGTTCCTCCCCATCCCCAGTATCTCGATTGTTTTGGGAGATGGAGGCAGGCAGGGCTGAAGGGCAGGTATGGTTTATCTAGACTTGTAATATTGAAGATACCATTTAATCAAAATTATAAGATGTAGAAATGTATTTTGGAAAAAATGATTATTAGCCTCTGTTAGTAGCATTCATTTATTTCTTTGATCATATAAAGTTTATTGTCACATTTATCACACGTGTATTTTGAAGTCCAAGCAGCCTTTTTCTTCCTCAGAAAGTAAATATATTTTAAACCTCTAATTTAACCTTTACTACATATAATATGTACAATTAAGGGAATCTTGGGCTTTTGTTAAAAGATGAGAAATTATTAGCAAAATCATTAATTAATCATGATTAGCCTTTATTCCTACCTAAAATAATTTATATTTCTGAAATTTTTTAGTTCATAAAATTCTTCATTACTCCTACCACTAAAAAATAAACGTCTTTTAAAGACAGGGCTGTTGTGATCAGATGAAATAACACTAGTTAAGTAGCACTTTATAAAGCATAAATTATTATGTGAATGTAAGGCTTTGAATTTTATAATTGCATAAATTGCACATATTTTCCACTTTTTATCAGAGGTTCAGCATCAGCCTGTTTGATAAGGAATGGTATTTATCAGGAAGCTATAGGATAGTACTTACTGAATAAATTACCATCTTCTCAATAGAACTACTAGTTTTTAGTACATACTTTGTTTCTCAAGTTTGCATACTTAAATTAAGACGTTTTTAAGCCTAGTTTCAGCTTTGTCTATAAATTACTGTGCTCTTGGCAAAAACTTTAGTTCTATGCCTCAGTAGTCCTATCTGTAAAATGAGGGAACAAGAGGGAAAAGTAGCAAGCACTGCTAATCAAGACTGGTGATTTGCGTACACCCAGCGGCACTTCAGAAGAAAGGCCTGGTGATCTGCTTCTGAAATTCACAGCCTTGAAAACTCTGTGGAGTGCAGTTCTACTTTGCAACACATGGGGTCATCATGAGTAGGAATTGACTCGACAGCAGTTGGTTGGTGGTTGCTTATCTTATTTAATCTTCTCAACTGTATAAAGTAGGTATATCCTACCCTGCAACAATTGCAAGGTAGGATAAGGAAACAAACTCAGGGATTATGGAATCTGGCCAAAGGCACACAGCTTATAAATGCCACAACAAAGATTTGAACCTAGGTTCATGTAGCACCAAGGCTCAAGTTCGCCGCATTGCAATATACAGCCTTCTAAGTTGTGATACTGCTGCTAGGATAGTTCTAGATTACCAGATAGTGTTTTCCACTTGAAATAACTGAAGGTCTTGTCCTTCAGTGATAACGCTAATGTCTTTGCTACCAAACCTGCTGCCATCGAGTTGATTCCGACTCATAGTGACCCTATAGGACAGAGTAGAACTGCCCCATAGGGTTTCCAAGGCTGTAAACCTTTACAGAAGCAGACTGCCACATCTCTCTCCGCAGAGCAGCTGGTGGATTCAAACAGCCAGCCTTTCAGTTAGCAGCTGAGTGATTTATCCACTGTGCCACCAGAGCTCCTTATCTTCGGTACAGAACCACTCTTAAATCAATTTATATTTTCTCTGTAGTGATTCTCTTTGTGCCTTTCTGGTAATACTGTGAAGAAAGTACTGTGGGATTTTTGTTATTATTATGGACATTTACTATTAATCTGAAGTGCTGCTGAAGTGTTGTAACTTGGACCTTTGAATGGAATGCTTAGAAAAATAGTACCTTAAAAAAATTAGGGGCTTAGTGCTTGTAGGGATAAAAATATGATGTAGAACATTTTACATTTACTAAATCATTTTTAATCTGGTTCAGATTCAGAACCAAAAGTAAGTTAATTCAGTTTTTAAGAGACTCCAGCCTTCTCCACTGACAACGGTATCAGTCAGGGTCTGATCAGAGAAGATGTGGTTGCAGCCCACCAGATGGTGGAGAGGTTCGCTGGGTTGCCCAGACCAGAGCTGTCAACTGTTGCCAGGCAAATAGGAAGCAACCTTC